GATGGACCTCACGGTGTACGCCGGAGCCCCCTCGATGTCCAACGGGGGCGGAGGAGTCTCCTCAATCTCAAAGTCCTGGAGTGGACCAGCTACCACCGGCCTGAGGAGAGACACATGGAACGAGGGGTTAATATTTTTGTAATCAACAGGTAGTTCTAACCTATAACTCACCTCGTTCAATCTCCTCAGGACTTTAAATGGCCCCACAAACCGCCGACCCAGCTTCCGGCAGGGCAGGCGGAGGGGCAGGTTTCTGGTTGAGAGCCAGACTCGATCTCCAGGTGCGTACACTGGCCCCTCACTGCGGTGTAGGTCGGCGCTCGTCTTCTGTCGACGTATGGCACGCTGCAGATGGACGTGTGCAGCGTCCCACGTCTCCTCCGAGCGCCGCACCCACTCATCCACAGCGGGGGCCTCGATCTGGCTCTCATGCCATGGTGCCAGAACCGGCTGGTACCCTAACACACACTGAAAAGGGGTTAGTTGGGTGGAGGAGTGGCGAAGAGAGTTCTGTGCCATCTCGGCCCAGGGCACATATCTCGCCCACTCCTCCGGCCGGCCCTGACAGTATGACCTCAGAAACCTACCCACATCCTGGTTGACACGTTCAACCTGCCCATTACTCTCCGGGTGGTACCACGAGGTAAGGCTTACCGAAACCCCCAACCGTTCCATAAATGCTCTCCACACTCTAGAGGTGAACTGGGGGCCTCGGTCAGACACTATATCCTCGGGTACCCCGTAATGCCGGAAGACATGGGTGAACAGAGCCTCAGCGGTCTGTAGGGCAGTGGGTAGACCCGGCATGGGAAGGAGACGACAGGCCTTAGAGAACCGATCCACAACGACCAGGATGGTAGTATTCCCCTGTGAGGGGGGGAGGTCGGTAACAAAATCCACCGAGAGGTGGGACCAGGGTCGTTGTGGAATAGGCAGGGGTTGTAACTTACCCCTGGGCAAATGTCTGGGCGCCTTACACTGGGCACACACCGAACAGGAGGAGACATAAATCCTCACATCCCTAGCTAACGTTGGCCACCAGTACTTCGTGCTAAGGCAGTGCACTGTCCGGCCGATACCCCGGATGGCCAGAGGAGGGGGACGTATGAGCCCAACAAATGAGGCGATCGCGTACCTCGAGCGGAACGTACGTCCGACCCACAGGACACTGTGGAGGACTCGGGTCGGTGCGTAACGCCCGCTCGATCTCACCATCAACCTCCCACACCACCGGAGCAACCAGACAAGACTCCGGTAGTATGGGCGTGGACTCAACTGACCTCTCCTCTGCGTCATACCGCCGAGACAGAGCATCTGCCTTCCCGTTCTGGGACCCAGGGATGTATGTGATCTTAAACACAAACCGGGCTAGGAACATAGTCCAGCGAGCCTGGCGAGGATTCAGTCTCCTAGCTGCCCGGATGTACTCCAGGTTACGATGGTCAGTTAGAATGAGGAAAGGGTGTTGAGCCCCCTCGAGCCAATGCCGCCACACCTTTAGGGCCTGTACCACGGCTAACAGCTCCCTGTCTCCTACGTCATAATTCCGCTCCGCCGGACTGAGCTTCTTAGAGTAGAACGCACAGGGACGGAGTTTAGGTGGAGTGCCAGAACGCTGGGAAAGAACGGCCCCTATCCCGGCCTCTGACGCGTCCACCTCTACTTGGAACGGTAAAGAGGGATCCGGATGCGCCAACACCGGCGCCGAGGTAAACAGGTCCTTTAGTCTCCCAAATGCCCTGTCCGCCTCAGCTGACCACCGCAAGCGCACCGGACCCCCCTTTAACAGAGACGTTATGGGAGCTGCCACCTGTCCAAAACCCCGGATAAACCTCCGGTAATAATTCGCAAAACCCAAGAACCGTTGCACCTCCTTCACAGTGGTTGGGGTCTGCCAATTACGCACAGCTGACACCCGGTCTACCTCCATCTTCACCCCTGACGCAGATAACTGGTAACCCAGAAAGGAGACCGACTTCTGGAAAAACAGACATTTCTCTGCCTTGACATATAGGTCATGCTCCAACAGCCTCCTCAATACTCGGCGCACCAGGGCTACATGCTCAGCACGGGTAGGACTATACACCAGAATGTCGTCGATGTACACAACTACTCCCTGTCCCTGCATGTCCCGGAAAATCTCATCGACGAAGGATTGGAAGACTGAGGGAGCATTCATCAACCCATATGGCATGACTAGATACTCGTAGTGTCCGGAAGTCGTGCTAAACGCTGTCTTCCATTCATCGCCCTCTCGAATGCGTACCAAGTTATATGCGCTCCTAAGATCCAATTTTGTAAAGAACTGCGCACCGTGCAGTGACTCCGTCATAGTCGCAATCAGAGGAAGTGGATAGCTGTACTTCACTGTGATCTGATTGAGACCGCGGTAATCAATACACGGGCGCAGACCTCCATCCTTTTTCTTTACAAAAAAGAAACTTGAGGAAGCGGGTGAAACGGAGGCCCGTATGTATCCCTGTCTAAGAGACTCAGAGATGTATGTCTCCATAGCCTTTCTCTCCTCTTGAGACAAGGGATACACATGGCTCCGCGGGAGAGCTGCTCCTGACTGGAGATCTATCGCACAATCCCCCCGTCTATGAGGCGGCAGCTGCGCCGCCCTAGTCTTACTGAACGCCAGTGCCAAATCCTCATACTCGGGGGGAATCTGCAGTGCTGGCATTAGATTCGGACTCTCCACCGAGGTCGCCCCTATGGAAACACCCAGACACCGCCCCTCACATTGAGCAGACCACCCTTTAAGAGCTTTCTCTCGCCACCTAATAATAGGGTCATGAGTCATCAACCAGGGAAGACCCAGCACTACCGGATACGCAGGAGAGTCAATCAGATAGAGCTGAATTCTCTCCTCATGACCCTCCTGCGCCGTCATCTGAATGGGTGCTGTGACTTCCCTAATCAACCCAGACCCTAACGGACGGCTATCTAGGGCATGGACGGGGAAAGGCTTATCCACTGGAAGGAGGGGAATCCCTAACTCTATACAGAACTGGCGATCTACAAAATTCCCAGCTGCGCCTGAATCTACCAGCGCCTTATGCTGGGAACGAGGTGCAACCTGTGGGAAACAAACAGGCAAGGTTAGGTGCACGACAGAAAGCTCTGGGTAAGCAGGGCGCCTACTCACCTGGTTGATGCGGTCCTCCTGACCACGAAGACGTTCAGCCATCTCGGCTGTCGGCGCGGTCGCTCCTGCTGATTCCATGGTGAAGATGCGTGATTCTGTCAGAGTGGTGTGTGTAGATGAGTGGAAAGGAATCAAGCGCAGGAACCAGGATGACTTCAACCGTCTTTTATGTTACTGTTCAACACGTGAACAAAACAGTCGCCTACCCAACCGGGTGGCGCAAAACAATTACGCACAACACAGTGCGAAAATACACATGAAAAAGCGCACGCAGTGCGAACTCTCGGGACAAGCCAACAACGAGAGAAAATAGACCATACAGAGGCAGTCTGACAACAAACAATCACGCATAACACCTGACCCAAACACACGAACTAAATAAGGGAACAATTAAGACACAAATAAGGGACAGGTGTTATGAACAGACAAAACCAACAGAACATGAAACATAGAACGGTGGCAGCTAGTACTCCGGAGACGACGACCGCCGAAGCCTGCCCGAACAAGGAAGAGGAGCAGCCTCGGCCGAAACCGTGACAGAGAGAGAGAGAGAGACCTGTTGCCACAAGAAAAGGGCAACCAGTGAAGAACGAACACCATTGTAAATACAACCCATATTTATGTTTATTTATTTTCCCATTTGTACTTTAACTATTTGCACATTGTTACAACACTGTATATATACATAATATGACATTTGAAATGTCTTTATTCTTTTGAAACTTCTGAGTGTAATGTTTACTGTTAATATTTATTGTTTATTTCACTTTTGTTTACTATCTACTTCACTTGCTTTGGCAATGTTAACACACGTTTCCCATGCCAATAAAGCCCTTAAATTTAAATTGAATTGAGAGAGAGAGAGAGAGAGAGAGAGAGAGAGATCCACAAAGAATTCGAAAACAAACCCAATTTTGATAAACTCCCTTATCTACTGGGTGAAAAACCACAGTGTGCCATCACAGCTGCAAGATTTGTGACCTGTTGCCACAAGAAAAGGGCAACCAGTGAAGAACAAACACCATTGTAAATACAACCCATATTTATGTTTATTTATTTTCCCATTTGTACTTTAACTATTTGCACATTGTTACAACACTGTATATATACATAATATGACATTTGAAATGTCTTTATTCTTTTGAAACTTCTGAGTGTAATGTTTACTGTTAATATTTATTGTTTATTTCACTTTTGTTTACTATCTACTTCACTTGCTTTGGCAATGTTAACACACGTTTCCCATGCCAATAAAGCCCTTAAATTGAATTGAAATTGAATTGAAATTGAAATTGAATTAAATTGAATTGAAATTGAATTGAGAGAGAGAGAGAGAGAGAGAGAGAGAGAGAGAGAGAGAGAGAGAGAGAGAGAGAGAGAGAGAGAGAGAGAGAGAGAGATTCTCACTCCATTTATAGTAGTTCAGCTGTGCCCCCTACTGGTATTGTAATTTGGGTCTGCAAAGGGTAGGGGCTATGGAAATTGCCGTTTGACTGGTTTAGCGGAATTGAAATTGTCTGATTTAGTTTTAGTACATTTAGTAAATTGTCAGATTTCATTTATTCAAGGAAAAGTAAGTTCAGCATTATGAAAAGTAATTTCAGAAGTTATTCAACAGTATCTGCTTGGATAGTGGTTTCTGATAGGTCTCAAATGAATACAAACCAATTCAACGTTTGCCAATCAATTTATTTTGATCAAAGTCAATTTTTACAGTAACTGGCTAGATTTTGACGGTAGTCAGCCTACCAGTCTTTAGAAAGACGTCACGACTACTGTTACCTGGATCTCTGATTGGTTCAGAGAGTCTATCCGGGTGCTGAGCTGGAACGAACTTAAAGGTACCAATATGGCGGAGGTAAGAGTGAAAACAGGGGAGGATCATCAGATTTTAAATCGATGTTTAGAAAATGTGTGTTGCTAACTTTCTATTTAAATGTAATCGATTGCATAGATTAAGGTTTTTTTGTTCCATATTTGTGGTTTTGTGTCAAAATTGCCGTAAATATGCCTCTAAAATATGTTTTAATGTATAAACCGATCCTTCACGACAAGGCCTGTGCGCGTTCGCTCTCAGCTGCTTTGCTAACATTACTGGGCAGACTCAAACGCCAATTTGATGGGGGAAGAAAATAAAAATACATTTGATTTGCATTTAATTGGGATGGTATTTTTCGGTTCTTGTGTAAAAACAAAAACATCGCCTATGACTGGTGAATTGTTCCCAGTTTTAGGTTATCGTGTACAGTAACTAAACAATACGATTGTTTTTTGTTTTGTTGTTGTTAATAAGATTTGCTTTCTCGCTAATTTCAGAGCATTGACGGCACACAAAGATGGATATAGGGGCCTAGATGTTATTTTGCGTGCCACATCCAAATGTTATATCATATTGCTACTAAATATTTAAATCCTATAACATTACATAAAACCGCTTAGTCTGTCTGTGCGGTCGGTATGTGTTTTCAGGTTGCGGAAAACGCAGAGCTATTGTTTATTTATTTATCGTGGTGGACGTTATTGACAATGTCTGCTGTACAAAATTACATTTGTTTTAATGAAAGTTTACGAACGTGTTAACAGTAGTGTTCACAGATATAGCATATTATTTAGTCTTCAAAATGGCTTAATTTGTGCTATTATCTTTTTGTTCTTCTAAACAGGCTTCCTTCGGGAGTTCGAGCCCAGGTAATTTCAGAATTATCTTTTTTAAAAGGTATTTGAATGTGAAATACTGAAGTTATGAATATGACATGCCATTTTTATATTCAGTTAATGTTTATTATGATACCATGTAGCTAAATACATTTATAAAAAATATTTATTGAGAAAGTAATTCCATGTAAATGATGCTCTGGGTTCGCCAATGGTAATGACAAGCAGTGCCAGTTTTGCCAAGAGTATCTTAATTTATTTGCGGGTTGTCCTTATAACGGTGCCTTTAAACTGCGTTCTAAAATCGTTTTCGCTCCACAGTTGGCTCTTTGTCGTCGGAAGATCATGACTTCGATCCGTCAGCCGAGATGCTAGTTCATGAATATGACGACGAGAGGACTTTGGAGGAGGAAGAGTCATATGAGGGCGAGAGAAACTGCAACTCAGAGATAGCCGATCTAGAGAAGGTTGGTTGGCTATAGCTACAGATTGCAACACCAGATAATGTGATTCAACCCAACATTTGTTCCATTATAATGGTAGTTACAGGTATGACTATACAAAACATCGGCAGAGATTTTTCAACTAACCTTGTATTAGCGATACTATCTTCGTCCTCGATTCGTGGAAACAGGAGTCTCATAAAATGTCTGCGTCCAGTTGCAGGGGGTCTGTTTGAATTGAGAAAATGCTCTGTTATTAAAATACATAATGTTGTCTTATAAGTAATCCAACAATGTGTATATCGCAATCAAATCAAATTCTATTTGTCACATACACGTGTTTAGCAGATGTTATAGCGGGTGTAGCGAAATGCTTGTGCTTCTAGCTCCGACAGTGCAGTAATATTTAACAAGTAATATCTAACAATTTCACAACATATACCCAATACACACAAAACTAGTAAGGAATGGAATTTAAGAATATATACATATATGGACAAGCAATGACAGAGTGGCATGGACTAAGATACAATAGAATATTATAGAATAGAATGCAGTATATACATATGAGATGAGTAGTGCAAGATACGTAAACATTATTAAAGTGCCTAGTGTTCCATTTCTTAAATATCTATTTCAAGTCTTCTCTCATTGATTGAGACAGGTGTGTCCACCCCAAAGTGTTGCATGACAGACAGACCTGTCTCGATTAATGTGAGAAGACTTGAAATAGACAAGATGGCGGCATACACATTGTTGGATTACTTCATGGACCAAAACATTTATTTATTTTAATAACAAAGCATTTTCTAAATTCAAACGGACCCCCTGCAACTGGACACAGACATTTTATGAGACTCCTTTTTCCACGAATCAAGGATGAAGACGGTATCGCCAATACCAGGTTAGTTGGAAAAATCTCTGCCGACCTTTTTATATATCCTGTAACTACCAGTATGATGGTCAAAAAAAATTACCCATTAAATCAGATTATCTGGTGTTACAATCTGTAGCTAGGTTGGCTTACAATATAAATTAATGGACAGTTTCCTTTCTTTTGGACAGCCAATGTAGTTGTCATTTTATAGGAATATCTTTCATTCTGTCAATGCTTAAATGACCACTTACCTCCCTACTTCAATTAATAAAATGTTATAGGCTGGGGGGGGGGGAAGCATAATGTGTACATGACTATGTTCTGTCTTATTATGGAGACAGACACTGTGTCATGGAACTTTTGTCTAACCATTCTTCACATAGCAGACATGTGTTATCATGATTTTGATTGTAGAGACATGGTCTAATATGATTTCTATTTGTTGTAACAGGAGGGGAACATGCCTTTGGAGGAACTGCTGGCCATCTACCGCTACGAGGCGTCTGTCAGTACGGCTGCAGGCTCCAGCATGGACAGCTCTTCTGGGGAGCTGACGGATGAACTGCCAGACATGACTTTGGACAAGGTGAGCAAAATTCAGTGCACTATATCAGATTTGGTAAAGGGAATATTTAAAAAATGTTTTCAGTCAAATGTATTTGTGATATCGTCAGTAGGCCATCTATCCAATTATGATTACATTATACGTGTCTTACTTTTGTATGACCTCTAAAGTGTGGTTATGGCAGACTGAATTTTTAGGATCAATTGATCCTTGGTGGGTTAGTTTCTAACGATACAAATGGTGATTGTGTTCTTCCACAGGAGGAGATTGCTAAAGACCTGCTATCAGGAGACTATGAGGAGGAGACCCAGTCCTCCGCTGATGACCTCACCCCTTCAGTCACTTCCCACGAGGCCACCGACTTCTTCCCCAGAACACTCAGATGTAAGGCAATTCACTTCAATTGCAACTTTATTAGGACACCTCAGGGATAAATAAGACATTGTCAGAGCACAATTACAAAACACAAATACAATTGGGCAGATTCATATAGTGCATGTTATGAGCCACTGCAATATTTTATTTATTTAAGCTGCAATATTTAACTTTTTGGGCGACCCGACCAAATTCACATAGAAATGTTGTTATAGATTTGTCATTCTCATTGAAAGCAAGTCTAAGAAGCGGTAGATCTGTTCTATGTGCGCTATTTCTATGCTTCCTGTTTTTAAGTTTCGGTTTTTGCTTATGGAAAATATATTTCACAGTGGTTTAGATGGTACAATGATTCTCTATACTTGCTTGTTTTGTCACATAAACTGAAATTAGGCAAACTATTAGAATTTTAGCAACCAGAAAATGGCGGAGCGATTTCTGCATAGTGCATCTTAATGTTTCCCAATTTTAGCTAGCAGTATGCTTAATTGAAAACTCATAATAATGGCAAAAATACTGTCAAGTGCAGGTGTCATTATAAACAAAAGCACATTAACTTATTTATCTTGTGCTTTGTCAGAATGTATCCCTTTCCTTCATACCATCTTTTAATATGAACTTATCTTGTCATGTGATGAGTTGATAAGCACAGGATCCCATTCGTATAGCAAGAATTTCAATGGGGCATGCCCTTTCTGTCTTTGCATTGTCAGCAAACACTATCTACGACGGTGATAAGGAGTCAGAGTGTGAGGAGGATGGGCCAAGCCTCGAGGACTCCAGAAAGGTAAGAATCCTGTCCTTTTAAAAGTGACTTGATTGAAGAGGATACAGGATTAAGTTTCCCATAAGCACTAATTGGGGGTCAGTTATTTTACTTTCCAATGGTTACGGTTGTTTAGTAACCTTACTTGGTTAACTGAACCTAGACCTGGACTTCAACCTAAAATAGACTGATGGTAGAAACATGGTGCTGCATGTTCTGTTCTGGGGGGTAAATCTGTTTGTATTTCACAGGAAATAATGGTGGGGTCGCAGCACCAAGCAGAGGTCCCCACCCACCTCTGTCACTATGGTGATGATGAGAAGGGTGAGTGCAGGGTTTCTTAAGAGGTTAACCCATAAACCCATTGTCAGAGTTGCATTTGACAGTCAGACGTTTAGCAGTGTTTCCAAGTGTAACATTTTTATTTTTGTATTTTTTATTAACCCTCTTCAGAGGACACATATCTTGTTTGTTTTTACAGCTTTTCTGCTACATATAAATGTACATACATTTTACATAGATGTTTTACATACACATTTTACATACACTACCGGTCAAAAGTTTTAGAACACCTACTCATTCAAGGGTTTTTTCTTTATTTTTACTATTTTCTACATTGTAGAATAATAGTGAAGACATCAAAACTATGAAATAACACATGGCATCATGTAGTAACCAAAAAAGTGTTAAACAAATAAAAATATATTTTATATTTGAGATTCTTCAAATAGCCAACCTTTGCTTTGATGACAGCTTTGCCATGGAATCGGTACATCAAAAATCTCTTCCCATTTATTTTGCAACCTGTATGGCACAGCTGTCAACATTTTTGTCCTCAAATGAAACTGGTATATTTTTCTATTTATGCCAATTCCTTTCAGCCAATTTGTATCTTTAATATATTTGCCTCCTCCATTTTTGTGGTAATGCTGCAATCAGTTGGTTATACGTTTGGATTGAGCAGACATTCCCATATATTTTCGATAGCTGCATATGTGACATAACTCCACCGTTTTATATTCATAGTATCATTAATAAATATAATACCATTTAAAAACATTTCTTCCATAAATTGTTTTTTTATTAATCAGTATATTTGAGTTTAAGCATAACATTTGTTATAATATTTGTTCTATATTTTCTGGAGGATAAAACTGAAATTGTAAGCAGCATTGTATAGCTTGTTTAAGAAAGGGCGATACAAAACAAATTTCATTTTCAATTAGTCGTAAATTAGAAGTTGTAATCTGTATAAAGGCAAAAATGCCATTTTTGAACAAAGGATGAGCCTTTCTTAATAATCTGCTGGAGAACCATTTTGGGTTTAAGTATAACTTATGTATGAGTGAAGCTTTTAGTGAGAGGTTTAACGCTTTAATATTTAATAAGTTTAGCCCCCCAAACTCATATTTATGATATAAATAGGCACGTTTAATTTTGTCTGGCTTAGCATTCCAAATAAAATGAAATATATTTTGCTCATATGATTTTTTTAAACGAGTCGTCTGGATTAGGCAGTGCCATTAGTAAGTAAACTGTGATAGGACCAAAGAGTTAATCAATGTGATTTTTCCATAAATAGACAAGTATTTCCCCCTCCATGGTTGCAGAATCTTATCTATTTTTGCAAACTTTCTATTGAAATTGATTGTGGTAAGTTCATTTATATTTTTTGAGATGTGAATACCAAGTATGTCTACTTCACCATCCGCCCATTTTATTGGTAAACTACAAGGTAGTGTAAACACTGTGTCTTTTAGCGATCCAATACGTAATATGGTACACTTGTCATAATTCGGTTTTAGTCCAGAGAGGCTAGAAAAGTGATCTTCAATAAGACTGTGTAGGGATCCAGATTGCGGAGTTAAGAAAACAACTTGAGTCACCGGCATACATTGAGACTTGTTTTTATCCAAGTGTAACATTGCATAGTGTTTAACATTGTGATTGTCATCCGCCATTTTCGTGCAGTATACGAAGATGATGACCAGTTGCTATGGAGCCCGGACGTGTTGTCGGAGAGCAAGGTCAGGGACTTCCTGTGTGAGGCGTTGTCATGGGCAACCGACGAGAGGACAAGAAGTGACACGGCAGGAGCTCATGTGAGAGACAATGAGCAGGTCAGTCATCACTTTAAGACTCACTGGATGTCATAACATTAGATATGCTCCTGCTGCCATCTCAAAGTTACTGTCTTTCAAAGTTACATGACTTTGATTGTCATGGTTGTTGTCAGTGTAAGTCGTTGACCTATTCCTCTGTCTTCTCCCTGTAGGCTCTGTATGAGCTTGTGAAATGCAACTACAATACCCACAAAGCACTAGAGTGGTATTGCAGTAACGTGAAATCCTCAAAGGGTAAGTTACCATTTTGAATGATTAGTAGACTCATAAATGTCACTCCATTGTGAGGGAAAATGACTCCTTGTGATTATTACAGAGGAATCCCCGCCGTGGTCTGAAGATGAATGCCGAAACTTTGAACATGCACTACAGATATACGATAAGAACTTTCACCTCATACAGAAACACAAGGTGGGACTCTCTCTGTTACTGATTAAAGGGTGGTGAGATTATCATAATGTTGATAGCTTCTGTAAAGATATGGACACACTTTATTTAGCCTCTGTAAGGATATGGACACTTTATTTAGCCTTTCTTTAAAAAGCCTGTGTCACTAACTCCCTGTGTTGGAGAACTCTTCTCTTCATCATGTATTTCTGCCCTTCATCAAGGTGAAGACACGGACGGTAGCTGAATGTGTGGCCTTTTACTACATGTGGAAGAAGTCGGAGCGCTTTGATTTCTTTGTCCAGCAGAACCGCTTTGGCAAGAAGAAATATAGCAGCTATCCTGGCGTAACGTAAGTGATCATTCATTCTGCTCAACAGTAGTAACTGAGGTCTGAATTCATTGCGAAATGTATGTAGACAGAGTTCCCTCTGAATAGGATGAAAGCCTGTGTTTGCACATTTTATTTTATTGTGCTTGCAACTACATGAAAGGGGTGGCTTTCATGGTTACTAAAAGAGAATGTGTCTGTGGGTGGGTGTGGCTGAGTGTGTTTGTGTGTGTGGTAACCTGTTGTGTCTTCCCCCTGCCTACAGGGACCTGATGGACCGGCTGGTGGACGAGGCAGAAGGCCTGGCAGTAGACAGCTCCTCCTCTGTGTGCTCAGGTGGAGGAGGAGGGTTGAGGATGGAGCCCACCACAGAGCAGCAGCTCAGCCTGCTCAACTCCATCACTGCCAGCGACCTTACAGGTTAGTCAACAGGGTCTCAGACGCTTCACACTGCATGTAGCACAAACTGACCCCCATCTTCCTTGACAGGGTAACTATATTTTTCACAAGCCTAACTTCAGATCTGGCATTCAGTATGAACTTACAGTACACATATTATACACAACAATACAACTTTATACAATCAACATAAGTCCTAAGAACAATACATAAGAAATCCACAGATAACCAAGTAGTTTATATATGTGTCCCCTACCCTCAGCCCTGAGTAACAGCGTGGCCACAGTGTGCAGCCCAGCGGAGGTGAGCTGCCTGGACTCGTACAGTTTCCCCCCTCTGGAGAGCCTCCACCGGGGGTCCCTGGCCCACGAAGAGCCCCTGGGCTTCCCATCCAACGGAGGAGACCCCAACTGTCTCAACATGCTGGATACTGGCTTCTACCACTCGGACCTGGGCCAGCTGGGTGGGGTGTGCGGGGCCAAGGAATGCGAGCGGCCCTCTAAGAGGCTCAAGTTGGCACTGCCCGACTCCTTCATCAACGACGTTTCTGTGGGTAACCTCGGAGTGGACTTTGAGGGGCGGCGGAAAATGACACACCACCGCATCACCGGCACCAAGATGGCGGTGTCCGTCACAGACTTTGGGAGTTTGGCGGGGAGCCCAACGGGCTTATGGGAGCACACGCACAGCACAGCACGGCGCTCCAGTCAGAGTGACCTCCCTCCGCCCCGCCCCCAGAGTTCCACCTTTAAAACCACCATCCCATGTGTACATAAGACTCACTCACTGGAGAATTAGATTTGTATTTAATAATTATATATGAGTATACATTTATTTCATTTGTGAAATATGACATCAGTGATGTCTTTATCGTATAGAACTAAAAATCTTGATTTCTCAAGAGTTTATATAGCCATTTATTTTCTCTGGTTCTGAGATGTTTCATGTCCGTGTTAATGTCCCCCCACACACACATCTACAGACAAATTCTTCAAAGCTACGTTATCCTGCCACTCATATTCAGCTGCCAAAACATATTTGTTCTGGTTTCATATGTAGTTTGTTTATTGTTAAGTGGTACTTTTGATTGAATATCAGTGTTTACAGGTACTTACAGAAACCAGGCTTGGGCAAATGTTATTTTGTCCGAGGGGAGCCTGGTGTTTGTATTTAATGCAAGAACACTCATTGGTGTCGAGGCGGTGTAGGTAATAACTCATTATAACCTCCCTCTCCGCCTTAGTCTTTTCTCCTGTGGAAGCTTCTTTTGTACTCGACCTGCTTTTATCAGACTTTAATAGTCCAAAGTGGCCAAACCGGAGGAGAATGTTCTAGAATTTTAACAATATATTATATGATAATTTCTCATTGTTCATTCTCGTGAGTTGTGACAGGTCAAGACATTTTTAAAGTGATCAATTTAGAGACTATAAGGCTGGGTCTAACACCCAAATAAGCTGAGCAGCTTTATCTGTCCATCAGATTGTCTGAAACATGCCCTTAAAAATCGCTCTTATTGCCCTAGAAATTAGCCAATATCATGGCAATATTTTACATTATGACGGAAAAACGGTTTTTGGATTGGTTTTAGTGTTGCATTGAGATGTCATGTGTTCAGCTACAGTAATGTATATAGTTTCTGCCCTATACTCTTAGCACAACACATTACTTCATAAATCTATTTGGCCCAGGTTGAGTACTTTTTTAGGCAAGTTGTGCTGTTTGCATGTTTATCATGGTGCTTGTTGAGCTTGACCACTCTGCAAAAAAAAGAGCAATAAAATGTATTCTAAATTATATTGCTCTATATTGAAACTACTTAAACAGCCTGCATAAGATTGTTAGAAGTATTATTTCCTTATTTAATGCCACTTTTATGTAACTTCCACAGTACTGACTGTGGAGGACGCATTTTATTATCCGGTCCATAAATTAATGTCCAGTTGCAGTCTAGCAACAGCCTACTTCTATTTCTCTTGACTGAACTAACTAATTGTGAATTGTTGACTGTCGTGGAGTCATCACTGTCTGTTTAATGGGTGCAGTAATAGTGTTTACTTAATTTATCTATGCATTGTGAGTTGGATAATTTGTTAGTTTTGGGGGTATATAATTCTGAATGTCAGCCACAGAAGTCCATAGATTTTTACATAAAGATGTACCATCCAATAATTCACTATCCTGAGTATGTCCTGTCGGGTTTCTTGCATATGATCATTGGTTTTACCTAGCTAGGTGTTATCTAGTCATTCTGTTTCTATGGCAAACATTGGAGTCAGCTGTTTGTTCACCTTGCATTGTTTCCCCAAATGTGGACAGTTTCATGTAAATAATTAGCTAATAGCCTTAAATGTCTTCATTGACGTCTTAAACTTGTGAATCAGTGTTGATACAAAGACTTTAAATTTGATTCCATGTCAAAAGGCAATAATGTGTAGATATGTACAGACATTATTACATGTTCTTACGTTTTACTGATGGACTTTGTGTTTGGATATTTTGGGGGGACAATGCATGCTAGCTGTGTGACAGTTCTTGAAAATGTACCACTAAAAAAGGCTTTACCTAAGACGTATTAATATATTATTCAATGTCACATTTAGCGTTCTGAAGTCCGCAATCATATGTACAAATCCCATTTGGTTTCTCTTCATTTATAATTTTCTTTTCACATTGCTGTCTTTGTCTTGGTGATAAAGGGATGGCTTCTGTAGTCAGTATCTTGAGAGATGGGTCTAGAATCAAGCCCTTGTCCCTATCCCTTAGGTACTTGCATAGATCTGGTATGGTTGGATAGATATAACCAAAAATGGTATACCATATTGCCTTATACCCATCCAATACTTACAGATACAGCAAGTGCCTCGGGAGATTTACCAGACTATTGTTGCTCACCATCATACAAAGTGCAGATGCAGTGGGTGTGTCCAGGCGCTCTGTAGCTTTAGAAGTGCAGTGATATATATTTCACCCTATGGTTTGTACAAAGACTCTGAAATACTGTCTGAATGTAAAGGCCATTGACTAGTAGATTAATATTTAGATTTTACAACCCTGTGCTGAAATCTCATGTGATATTTTATTGTAATCTCTGGCGAGACTTTTGTGTGTAAGAAAGCACTAAACTAATTCCTTTTATATTTTGTATTATGTTTTGAAGTTTAAAAAAGGTGGGAGATGATTATAGCAGATGTATATAAAAAATCTAATTATTTGAAGTAAAGAACACATCTGTGAATAAAACCTGCAACATATAAATGTATATCCAGAAATATAGACAATCAACACATTTACAATCAAATGTTAAAGAGAAGCTTTATTGTTTATAAGAATTGTACATAGACACAGAATTTTTTCTTTTGTTTTGGTTTTAAACATTTTGTATTTTCTGTTCTTTAATACATGGTGTACGGATCCAGAAATAAAGCTCTGGAAAATGTCTCAAGACTCCTGCTTTACTCTGTGCATTAACTTGTGTGACCGCACAATTGTGATTTTGTGGTGGATCTCTCCCCAAAATGTGTTACCTGTCCCCAACTTCTTCACTGACATCACTATGGTGGGTTTATACTTTATAGTTGTCCCCCACAATTAAATCGGAGAGGGGACTGTGGGTCTCCGTCTGTTCGTACGTTAGTCACATGGGATATCTCAGACAGCAAAGGCACGATTTTGATGAAACTTGGGTGAATTATCTGTCGCTCCATGGAGATCCAGCATTTACAAAATTACACTGATTGTCCAGATGGTGGCGCTACAACAGATTGGAAATGCTAACTTTGAAAAGGTCATGCCCCTCACCTTGTTTGACCTAAAACATGAAAGTTGGTACATAGATCCCTCTTCACAAGGAACAAATGTGCCTTAGGGACCCATAAGGTCTGCCATGATGGATTTTCTGCCATTTAGAATTTTGTGAAAAACGCTACTCTTCTGGCACCGAATGACCGATCTGCACGAAACTTTGTGGCATCTATGGACAAAGGTCTCTCAACGCAATATTTTCCAGACTAGTACCTAAAACAACATGGCCGCTATTGACCAATAAACATTCACATGGGCGTGGTCTGGCACATAAATACATATAAATTGGTCAAGGATATTCGTATTGTAACACAGTTTGGTACATGTTGAAAACACTGTCAAGACTCAACATATGCGAGAACATTCATATCGACCACACGGTGGCACTATAACAGGCACATGTTTATATCTCTTGATCTGTTTGACTCAAGTACTGAAATTTGGCACACATGCTCAGGGAAATGAGTCTAGCTAACCCACGTGATATCGCAGACATTTTGACGAAACTTGGGTGAATGATGCGTCTTGCCATAAAGAGCTGTCATTTACAAAATTACACTGATTGCCCCAAGGACGACATGTTTACTGTTGCCTTGTTTACAATCGCACTTTCATATTAGTACATCATTTTGCTTGATTTTAACTAATGATAGCTACCAAGTGGCTGGACCTGTTTGAGAGATGTGTAATGTCAAGTTTTACTACATTTACCTGAATGAAATATATGAAACTGATCATGACTAGATTTAATCTAATTTCACTGTGATTGGTTAGTCAACATGCAAAATACCTGTATACTGTCAATCAATTTTTAAATGGCTGTGTTCCTATGGGAATTTGCACATGTTAAGAGCCCCACCATTAGTTTTTTAAAATCCATTTGGAACAGTAATTGGTAAGATAGTTTGTTTCAAACCTAGACTTCCAAATCTATTATCCTCCGAAACAAAAAACAAAAAAACTGTACTTTTCATGGGTTTTGGCCTGCTGTCTCTCGGGTTCTGTAGTAGTCACATCGTTTCGGACACTGCTAAAAGAATCCCGCAGTTCTTACTTTTCTAACAGTACTAACAATGTGTTTGTAGGACTTAAAAGTTTTGAAACCAAAATGTACTTTATGCGCGCAGTATACAATATTATGGATAGTTTATTAAATGCCACCAGAGGACTTCAGAGTTTAATAGGTTTGCGAAATTCGAATACAAAATCGTTCTATTCTGTGGTTGCATGAAATAGCAAACATAAAGTCAATTCAGCAATGACATTACATTTTTACATTTACATTTTAGTCATTTAGCAGACGCTCTTACCCAGAGCAACTTACAGTTAGTGCATACATTTTTTTTTGTTCATTACTTAATCTTTGTACCTCCCTGATGAAATGGTAAAATCCATTACTGTTGTTAGGTGGTGTGTTGAAAATAGATTCCACAATACGGCCTTTTATTTTATTAACAACTAATATAACACAATATACAAATTATCTCACAAAACTGTATACCAAATAACACAGACAAACTTTATACACTGGGGACTACACATTTAAACAAAAATACAAAAGTCTTCACAGGGATTTAGGGTTCGTTTTGCTTTACCGTTTTTTCAGATTATGCAGTATTTAAATAAAATGTCAATTCAATAAAAACATATTTAAAAAATGTCCACAATCCGGTTTTGAGCGAGTGCTCGGTTCGTTCTCGATACTGTATGCGCGCTGAAATCTACGCCCACCGTGATGTATAGCACCCACCACCGGGCGAAATGCCGTGAAAAGAGTGTGTCCATGTAACTGAACTGAACAAAGCAGACAGTTAATGCTCTAATATCCCTATAACTACTGGTACTACAGTGTCGCAACACAAAGTGTCGCTGAACACTGTGCCCTCAGTAACCCACCGCCCCTAGTCCAAGGAAACCAAAGACTAGTGGGAAGGAACGTAATACTTGAGCTCAACTGAACTGCACAAGCAGACAGTTACCGCTCTAATATTCCT